AAGAAACGCAGACATCCTGGATCTATAAGTTCAGTGGACACTTTACCACTTCTCTTCTCTTATTGTATTTAGAACCTATCCAGTTAAGACATTCCTTTCTCATATTATGGTTAATACCAATGGAGATTATGATTTTGGCTGACACAGGCATCCTGAGCCAGGAAGGGAGGGAGGGAGGGGTAAGAGAAAGTTGCTCTGAAAAAATAAAATCCCTTTCTACATCTGTCCTTGGGCTCATTTTTGATAATAAACTCTTATGTACATCTGTGTATATGTTCCACCAGCTTTGAGAGAAATAAACATGCACATGCAGCCTAATTTTGTTTTGCTTTCATAGACTGAACTCAGTAATGGTAGACACTGCCTAACACCACCCCTGTTTCTCTAGTCTTTTTTTTTTTTTGCAAGGCAATCCGCTTTAAGAGACTTGCCCAGGGTCACACAGCTAATGAGTATCTTGTGTCAGAGGCCAGATTTGAACTCAGGTCCTGCTGACTTCAGGGCTGGTGCTCTATCCACTGCTCCACCTAGCTGCCCCTACCCCTCTTTCTCCAGTCCCAGTGACCCTCATTGTACCCCTGGTGCCCCCAGGTTTCTTCAGTGCGGCTCAAACCAGAGACCGCTATGGTCAGCACAGACCACAGCTTCCTGCATGGTCAGGAGCCCATCCATGGTGTGGGTCAGCTCCTGAGGAAGGCATCCATTACCTGAATAGCCACAGCAGCTACTAGACCAGAAAGGCAATGCCCAGGTATGGCAGAAGTTCAGCCGCCTAAACACATATCAGCCTCTCAATGCCCTTCACACACAGGAGGTAACCAGGTCTGGGAAAATGAGGAGGGTGCTCAGGAAGTCACAGAAAGGAAAGTCAAAAGCCCATGAAAAACCCTGGTGGTCTCTCAAAAGACCAAGACAACAGAGGAAAGGGGAAATCTCCCAGGAATCCCCGCCATGCCAGGCTGGCCCAAATGCAATCCCCTGAGACAGCTCCCAGCAGGCTAGCCTCAGCTCCTGCAAGGAAGGCAGGGAGGGGAGAGGGAGGCTGACTCAGGGAGCTCTTTGGGGGTCCCTTTGGCCCTCAGCCCAGGGGCCCAGGCTTCCCCTCTAGGTCTGGGTCATGGTGGCCTCTGTCACTGCTCTGAGGGGCTCCTGGCATGTTCTTCCCTACAACAGTGTTCCCAAGTTAGTTGGGTGCCTGTAACCCAGGTCCCTCCACCAGCTGCTTCTGGTCTCAAAGCTTCAGGCCTTGTTCCAGGCCTCAGCCAGAGAGGAAAGGAGGGCAGCCGCTATCCTTTGTGGGGATCTGAAGCAGCTAGACAGAGACAGACATCAGCACACCCAGCACTTCAGGCTCCTTCCTGGGCCTGGGGACATGGAGGTTTCCCTTCTCTCAGTTCCTCTCCCAATCTCCCACCCTCTTCTCAGGTGACTGAGCCAAGGCATATGATCCTGGATGTGATAAAGACAGCAAGGGGATTTATTTTTTTTAATTTTAAATAAATTTTATTGAAAACTTTTGTAGTGGTTTTTTATATTAACAAATTTTCTTCCAATATTCTTTACTCTCTCCCTTCCACAGAACCATCCCATAAAACAAATTGATTAATGCATTTATTTTTTTTTTTAGTTTTCAACATTCACTTCCACAAGATTTTGAGTTCCAAATTTCCTCCCTATCTCTGCCCTCTCTCACCTCATGATGGCACACATTTTGAATACCCTTTCCCCTAATCTGCCCTCCCTTCTATCCCCCTCTTTTCTTATCGTCTTCCCCTTCTATTTTCCTCTGGGCCAGATAGATTTCCATATCCTTCTGCTTGTATGTCTTATATCTCGGTTGCATGTAAAGACAATTTTTAACATTCCTTTTAAAAACTTAGAGTTCCAAGTTCTCTCCCTTCCTCCCTCCTCACCAACTCTCACTAAGAAGGCAAGCAATTGGATACAGGTTATACATATGTAGTCATGCAAAACACTTCTATAATAGTCATGCTGTCAAAGTAATTATTTTTCCCTCCATCCTATCCCACATCTCCTTCCCCCCCCCATTTATTCAATCCTCTCCTTTGACTATGTCCCTCCTCAAAAGTATTTGTTTCTGGTTACCACCTCCCACCATCTGCCCTCCCTTCCATCATCCCCCTCTCTTATCTGCTCTCCCCCTATTTTACTGTAGGATAAAATAGATTTCCAAACCCAATTCAGTATGTATGTTATTCTCTCCTTAAGCCAAATCCAATGAGAATAAGATTCAGTCATTCCCTATCACCTGCTCCGTCTTTCCCTCCAATGTAAAAGCTTTTTCTTGCCTCTTTTATGTGAGATAATTTACTCCATTCTACCTTTCTCTTTCTCTTTCTTCCAGTACAATGCTCTCTCACTCCTTAATTCTATTTTTTAAATATCATCCCTTTATATTCAACTTACCCTGTTGTCTCTATCTATCTATCTATCTATCTATCTATCTATCTATCTATCTATCTATCTATCTATCTATCTATCTATGTGTGTGTATATTTATGTGTACGTGCATATATATATATATATATACACACACATATACATACATATACTCCCTACAACTACTCTAATACTGAGAAAGGTCTCGTGTGTTACAAATACCATTTTTCCATGTAGGAATGTAAACAGTTCAACTTCAATAAGCCTCTTATAATTTCTCTTTCCCATTTACATTTTCATACTTTTCTTGAGTTGTGATTTGAAAGTCAAATTTTCTATTCAATTCTGGTCTTGATTTCATCAAGAACACTTGAAAGTCCTCTATGTCATTGAATTTCCATATTTTCCTCTGAAGGATTATCCTCAGTTTCACTGGGTAGGTGATTCTTGGTTTTAATCTTTGCTCCTTTGGCCTCCAGAATATCATATTCCAAACCCTCTGGTCCCTTAATGTAGAAGCTGCTAAATCTTGTGTTATCTTGATTGTGTTTCCACAATACTTCAATTGTTTTTTTCTGGCTGTTTGCAATATTTTCTCCTTGACCTGGGAACTCTGGAATTTGGCTACAATATTCCTAGGAGCTTTCCTTTGAGGATCTCTTTCAGGAGGTGATCAGTGGATTCTTTCAATTTCTATTTGACCCTCTGGTTCTAGAATATCAGGGCAGTTTTCCTTGATAATTTCTTGAAAGATGATGTCTAGGCTCTTTTTTTGATCATGGCTTTTAGGTAGTCCAATAATTTTTAAATTATCTCTCTTGAATCTATTTTCCAGGTCAGTTGTTTTTCCAGTGAGATATTTCACACTGTCTTCTATTTTTTCATTCTTCCAGTTTTCTTTTATACTTTCTTGATTTCTCATAGACTCGTTAGATTCTGTTTGCTCCATTCTAATTTTTAAGGAATTATTTTCTCCAGTGAGCTTTTGGACCTTCTTTTCCATTTGGACAATTCTGTGTTTGAAGGCATTCTTCTCCTCATTGGCTTTTTGGACCTCTTTTGACATTTGGGTTAGGCTATCTCTTAAGATCTTATTTTCTTCAGCATTTTTTTTTTTTTGGTCTCCCTTAGCAGACTGCTGACTCAATTTTCACGATTTTCTTGCATTATTCTCATTTCTCTTCCCAATTTTTCCTCTCTTTCTCTTACTTGCTTCTCAAAATCCTTTTAGAGCTCTTCTGTGGCGTGGGCCTGATTCATATTTTTATTGGAAGCTCTGAATAGAGGAATTTGGACTTTGTTGTCTTCTTCTGTATGTTTTGATCTTCTTCCTCACCAAAGAAAGATTCTACAATCTTACTTCTTTTTTTTTTTTTGCAATTGTTTGCTCATGTTCCAAGCCAATTACTTGACTTTTAAACTCTTTGTTAAGGTGAGGATCTGCTTCCAGTGTGAGAGGTGTACTGTCCCAAGCTTCAGGGGTTTTGTGCAGCTGTATTCAGATATACTTCTAGGGACCTCTAAATTATCAGTTCTTCTAAGGTGGTATGGTCTGAGGAGAGGTGTTTACTCCTTTCCTGGTCTGTGTTCTGGTCTATGAGTGACCACAAGCACTCTTTTCTGTCTTGGAACTGTGAGGAGGACTCCCGCTCTACAGCCACCACAAGCTCCAGAGGGGCCCCCCTGCCCAAGTGGGAGAAGACTCAGCACAGGACAGGAGGCAGAGAAGGGTCCTTTTTGCACCTAAGTCCCACAGAGCATCTCCCTCCCTGCTAGCACTCCTGAGAGAGGTGACCACAGGGTCCTTCCCCAGGCCTGACCTGAGAACCTCCACCCTCCTCCTCAGATCTAAGAACAGTCTCAGGGGCCCCTACACACTTCCCTCTCCTGAGGCCTCACTGCCCTCCATACAGAAATTCCTTAAGTCTCCCCATGACTCTCCATCTCACCCCCCCAGATTTCCCCCACACTCCTCAAGCCCCCATCTCTTTCTTCCTTCCCTCAGCAAGTGACCTTGCACTCTACTTTACTAAAAACATTGAGGTCATCCCATGATTGCCCTCAGTCCTCCTTCTCCTCCCCTACACAGATCTCCATCCATTCCATCATGGTGGACTAGCCAATACAGCTCCAGTCCTTCCAACATCTGCCTGGCCTAGTGCCTCTGGAGGTAAGAGGATGGCCCTCTGTGCTGGTGCAGGAGATCAGAAGCCTGTCTCCTGCCTTTCTCAAGAGCTGCCATGGGGCACAGGGTCAGCAGAGGGAGCTGTTGGTCTGAGGATGGTGACTCAGCTTGGCTGGTCATGAAGCAAAGGGTTCTCAACCCCTCAGAACCCTGCCTAGGGCTCTCTGGTCTGTGCGACCCCCAAGTAGGTGCTTCCTTCCCAGCCCCTTCTCTGGGGCAGACTAAGGGCTGTTCAGCCAGAAACCCCACCCAGGCCTGGGGACAGTTCTGAACATGGGCAGAAGGAAGGGATTGGTACATGAAGGGAGGGGAGGGGAAGTGATTTCTATGACAGTCCCACCCCTGGTCCTAGAGAGGGTATAAGACAGACTTGGGGCCACCCAGTCTCAGCTGTGGGGCCTGAGGAAGCAGAGTTCTTAGGGGTGTCTCCACCATGGCCTGGATTCCTCTCCTCCTGCCCTTCATCATTGTCCGCACAGGTAGATGTCCAGCACCTTTCCCTGGCACTCAGCCTCCAGGGCTCTGGCCCTGACCTTAAGCTCACCCTGGAGTACTGCAGTGGAGATCTCTCCCCTCCACCCAATGCCAAGCTGCTGAGCCCCAAGACAAGGTCTTTTCTGCTTTCCTTCCAGGTTCTCTGGCCTCCTATGTGCTGACCCAGGCTCCCTCCAGTCTGTGACCCTGGGCCAGACAGCCACCCTCACCTGTGCAGGAGATCAGCTGGACAAGATGTATGCTGATTGGTACCAGCAGAAATGGGGCCAGACTCCTGTGCTACTAATTTACAATGACAAGGAGCGACCAGAGGGGGTCTCTGACCGATTCTCTGGCTCCAGCAGCAACAAAGTGGCCACTTTAACCATCTCTGGGGTCCAGGCTGAGGATGAGGCTGATTATTACTGTCTGTCATTGGATGATAATACCAAAGCTCACAGTGATTGAGAGAGATGAGGAAGTGAGACACAAACCCCTCTCTGTCCCCTGGGCCTTCAGCCTCTCTCCTTCATCTCTGTTTCCCTGCTGGCCCCAGGCAGAGCCTTCATGGGGCTGAATGCTCTCTACTCCCACCTGACTTCTCTGGGGCTCTATTCCCTTATCAGTAAAATGGGAACATAATAGCTCCTACCCCCCAGGGCAGATAGTAAGGCCTAAATGACCTAATACATGGCATTGCACCACAAACTCTAAAGTTGCCAGTAAATACTAAATGCTGGCTGTTCCTCTGGGCCTGAGCCCTCACCCACCACCAGGCAGGTCACAAAGATGTGGAAATGGAGGGAGATGTGGGGAGGAGGAGAGGCCCTTTCTAGGGGTTCTTGCTGCAGTTTCTCTTCTGCCTGAGGCCTTTCCTCATCCCCCCAACCCACAGCTGAGAGGCCCCTCCTCCCCAACTCCCTGGCATTTCTCTGTGTTGTACTTCCCCATTCAGGGTCATTTAAGCTCCTCCAATAGAAGGGAAGTGTCCTGAGAACAGAGACTGCTCCTGAAAAGGTGGGTCAAGGAATGAGAGTAACACAAGAGAATCATGAAAAAAGAGTCAATTGCCAAAAAAAAAAAAAGAGTCAATTGCATGGGGAAAGAAATACCAAAATTTCCAAGGAAGATAACTGCCTACAAAAGAGAATTGACCAAATGGAAAAAGAAGTACAAAAGCTCACAGAAAATAGAATTCCTTAAAAATTTGAATTGAACAAGCAGAAATTAGTAACTCTGTGAGACACGAAGATATGACTAAAAAAATAAAGTAAAAAAAAAAGAAAATGTGAAATTTCTCATTGGAAAAATAACTAACCTAGAAAGTAGATCCAGGAGAGATAACATAGGAATTATTGGACTTCCTGAAAGCCATGATTTTAAAAAAAAAGGCCTGGAAAACATTTTTCAAGAATTTATTTTATTTTTTAAAGTTCTTTCTTTTCTTTCTTTTCTTTTCTTTTTTTTTTAAAAAGTTTATTTTTAGTCTCCAACTTTCACTTCTATGAGATTTCGAGTTCCAAATTTTCCCTTTATCCCAAGATGGCATGCAATGTGATATAGGCTAAACATGTGCAATCATATTAAACATATTTCTACATCAGTCACTTACGAAAAAAAAAATCAGAACAAAAGGGAAAATCACAAGAAAGAAAAAAAAACAAGGAAAGTGAAAATAACATGCTTCAGTCTGCATTAAGATGCCATAGTTCTTTTTCTAGACATAGTTGGCAGTTTCTATTACGAATCATTTGGAATAGTCTTGGATCATTGCATTGCTGAGAAAAGCTAAGTCTATCATAGTTAATCATGGCACAATGTTGCTGTTACTATGTGTAGTATTTTCCTGGTTTTGTTCACTTCACTCAGCATCAGTTCATGTAAGTCTTTCCAGGTTTTTCTGAATTCTGCCTGCTTATCATTCCTTATAGCACAATACCATTCTATTACATTCATATACCACAACTTGCTCAGCCATTCCCTAAACTGATAGCTTTACCCTCAATTTCCACTTCTCTGCCACCACAAAAAGAACTGCCATAAATATTTTTGTATTTTAGTGCATTTTTTATTTTTCCCTTTTTTATGATTTCTTTGCGATGTAGACCTAGTAATGGTGTTGCTGAATCACAGGGTATGCACAGTTTTTTGTTGTTGTTGTTGTTGTTTTCACTGAGAAGGAAATTTATTTGATAATTCAAGGTCTATGTAAATAATTCCTTTCCCCACAGAAAATGTAATCTAATCAATAAGAAGAAGAAATAACAAATCACAAAAGAAGAAAATGTACAATCTGTTCTCCTTAAACAAATCAGATTTCTCAACTGCTCTCTGAATGCTCAGATAGCTTCAAGATTACAATTGTATAATTCATTTGAAATGTACATTAGGAGTTGCTGGGATGAGTGAGAATCTTCCCAAGGCTATCAACCTTCAAAAGCAGAGGTGAGGTGGTATTTGGTCCAGGTGGTCTCTTCAAACACTTGTGGCTCTGGGATTAGTCTCTTCAGACTCAGCCTCCCAGGCCCCATTCTAGCCTCTTTTTTAAGTAATTAAGCCATTGCTGCTTTAATTCCTGAGCCTAGGAGTCAGATGTACTTATTATAAGCGCACTATATTTTGGGGGAATTTTTTCCTTTTTGAAATGGACAAAGGCAATCCCAGTCAACCAAGCAATTAGTGAAATAAAATCTCCACGCTCAGTTGTACCAAACAGAGGCATAAACACCCCCACAAATCACAGGGAAACCAAATTTAAAGTCTGATGCCACTTAAATCATTTTAAGCAATCCAATAAGAAGGACATTCTGTTTTCCTTTGGTCCCGCAACAAATTTGAAAAGTGAGGAGGAAGATAGACCAAATCAGTTGCCCCTTAGGTTCAAGGTCCAAAATTCTTTATCCCTTCTCCACCCCTCCACTTGTGAATGTTCTGATTAACAGCAGCTTATTATTTTGGGGGTGGATAACCTGTGTCCTTCATTACTTAAGAATCTGATCTGACATTTTAGTAAACATGATATAGAGCTTTACCAGCAGGCCCTAGCAACTGCCTTAGTCAGAGAATCTGCCCAGATGGGTGTCTGTTCCACTTCTTAGGGAAAGCCAGTACCTGGAAAAATTTTGGGGGATGACTATGGCACGGCCTAGGTGAGATCCTACTGCCATTATTTCCACATTATGTTATTTTTTTTCTGAAAAGGAAAATTCCTGCCTGGTTAACGCTGAGCCTTGCTTTGAAAATCTTATGACTATGTGATTGGCTGTCAGATTTGATTCATGCCTAGAATCAGAGTTAAGGAAGATTTTCCTCCGTTATGATATGTGACATTATTATAACTATATCCATGTTTTTCCTTTAATAGCAAATTTCTATAATCAAGAAGTTTTGTGATATAATAGTAAATCTATTAATAATAGATTGATACTGGAACTTCTCTGAGTACTATTATAGGATGCAAGTATGAATGTTACAATTTTAATCTATATTTGGGATCAAAGAATAGTACAAGGGTGATATCCTCTTAAGGGGGAACTGATTAAACAGAGTAATAAGACAAAGATGTGACAAGATAGTTTTCTAATTAAACAGAATAGTAAACTTTGAGAAAAGCAACAGGATTAGACTGTTTTCTCTAAGAACCGTACACAGATGAATATGGTTGGCTTCCAAAACTTGCCTTTCACGGAATTTCAGGTTTTGAACATGTTTTCTCTAATAAGTTCTCAAAATTGGATTTTTACACATAAATTATATGGATAATGGGAAAGGAAGTGAAATTATTTTCCCTTTGCCAAAGTATGTGTCTGATCATTTTAAGAGGCAGAACATTTCATTTTATGATTGGACCCTTAAGTTTTTAAAAGATTCTTGTATCAGGTACAGGATTTAGGTAAGGATAGAAATAGTAAACAATATATAATCTGAAATTCTCTGAAGTCTCAACATTGGAGAACCAAATTTAAGTGATCATACTAAATTATACTAAGTCAGGATTAACTCAGGACCTCTAGATTTGGAACCAGAGAAGCAGAACTCCATGTGCTGATAATAAAGTCTATAGTCCAAGAAAAGATACATAGGTATCAGATGAACACATGAGACATCTATTACTCATAAAGTGCTGATTAAATGCACATTGAGAAGAAGCTTCTGGGATCCAAGAAGATTCAATGTCAGTTAATATTGGTGATAACCATTGCATTGCTTGGAATGGCTTATGCTTAAGTTTTCTTGGTTATTTTGGTGACATGGAAATACCCCTTCTCAAAACTGCTCTATTGTGAGCCCTCTAAGTAGACTGATCTCTAACTGACAGCATAATTATGCAATTATGGAAATTGTGAGAAAAACTTTATTGTATTGTTTGATCCTAGCCCAGTGTGGCTGGGAAACTGGACCACCTCTCCATGTCTTTAACCAAGGACCTATGTTATTCTGATCAGGAACTCTGATCCAGTGCGGTGGGGCTGGGAGGCTTGGGGCTCACCGCCCAGCCCAGCACTCGGCCCTGCCATGCCACAGAGAAGAGCGCCAGCTGGGAAAGCCTGGGCTCCTGGCCTATGGCAGTGTGGCTGCCCCGCGTGGACTTATTGTCCAGACCAAAACTTGAGTTTCGGGATTCTTGGGCAGCCCTCATCTCTGAGGAAGTGAATGGAGAGAGTAAATCCCCTTAGAGAATATATCAGTGCCTCTACCTCTTGTTTGAACCATTCAGTACATTTAAAATCAGTGTCCATCATATCATCGGATTCTATTTCAACTTCTGCAGAGAACTTTTCTCCTGACCTGAGGGTCCTGAGGGAGACTAACAAATTAGCAGAAATGGAAGAACCACCTTTGCTTCCGGGAGAAAATATTAAAGACATGGCCAAAGATATTACTTATACATGCCCATTCACTGGGGCTGTATTACTGGTTATATTTCAAAGGCATGGAAAGGGATCCTCCATTTGTTTTAGATGCTTTCCAGGTGAAAATTCTTATGGACTAGAAACTGTGTGCAAGGATATTCGGAATTTACAGTTTGCTCATAAACCAGAAGGACAAACCAGAAGATGTATATTTGAGAATTTAATGAAATATGCATTTTCCTATGTCCAATCACTTGCCTGCCTTTGCGTTTGAACACAAAGAGGCATTTTCAGAAAATGGATGGAAGTTGTATGACCCTTTCTTGGAATATGGAAGGCAGGGAATTCCCAATGAAAGTCGGAGAATTACAAAGATTAATGGACGTTATGAGTTACGCGACATATATCCCTCCCTCCTGGTTGTTCCAGATGAGCAACTGAGGAGAGGGGCATCTTTCAGGTCAAGGGGCCATATCCCGGTTTTATCATGGATTCATCCTGAAAGCCAAGCAACAATCACATGATGTAGCCAGCCCATGGTTGGAGTGAGTGGAAAGAGAAGCAAAGAGGATGAAAAATATCTTCAGGCTATCACGGATTCTAATGCCCAGTTCCATAAAATCTTCATTTTTGATGAACAGCCCAATGTTCATGCTGTTGCTAATAAGGCTAAGGGTCGTGGTTATGAGAGTGAGGATGCTTATCAGAATGCAGAACTAATTTTTC